ATTTCATCAACAACAATATGTAGGTTATTCAATTAAAACAATTACGTGATGAAAGGATTAATGATCAACTAGTAGCATTATCGAGAGGACCAGATTCTCGAGTATTCATTCACACTAGATATATTCTCAATGTTTACAAATTTCGTACAAAGAGTGTTGAGCAAGACTTAAAAACTCAATATAGCAGTGTGATAGTGAAAGGAGATGAGTTGACTGGACATATTGATTATTATGAGGTTATTCAAAATTCACTGTCTTATTTAAATGTGATTGGTTTGAGGCTCATTTTCAAGGAAGAAATCAAGGCAAGGGATATAAAAAAGATAAGCATGGATTTATTAGTGTAGATATTACAAAGCTATATTACACAAATGACCCATTTATCTTAGGTACTCAAGTTGGGTTAGTTTATTACATGCAACATAGTGACAAGGAAAATTGGTATACAATGGTAAAAGTCAAGCCAAAAAACACTTTTGATTTGCCACTTGATGAATATGACTTAGAGTCGTACCAACTCAATGAATTCAACGATTGTCGAAACTCAAAAATTCTGATCTTGCCCACAGATGGTTTTGACTTCCTATTTGAAAATCGCATCAATTAAGGAACGTCCGAAATTCATACTAATCCTTAATTAATAGTTTTGAAAAATGATCCGTAAGAGTCACCACTGATGTTTTACTTGAAACATCAGAAAAAGAAAAGGATTTTCGAAAGATGCTAACTTTGCCTTTGATCGAGTCCCTACCCACTCAAATAAAAACAGTTAAATGTAATACTAGGAAGCTTTCCTAGGTCATCTCCCAAGGACCATTTGTCTCTGTCAAAGGCTTAAACACGAAGTGGGGAGGTTTTGTTCAAATTTTTCAGTAATACAGCAAGTAAAATAGATTGACTCCTTGATTCGGATTGTAACTCTCTTATCCTTGGTTCACAATGAGATTACTCTGTCAACCACTTAATCCTTGTTCCATCCGAGTTAACCAACTAAGCGATGTCGCCACCAACCCGAAACGGGCTTTCGGCATTCGCGAAGGATGGTTGGACTCTTTTATTTGTTTAAAAATATGGATTGCTAGAATGACTTATTCTCAAACTGAGACCTTGTCAAACGAGCAATTTTATTAAAAGGCTCACCAATCCATGTTAATCCCAAGCGGGACCCTCCATGGATTAGCGGTTTTCATAAAAAGGAAGGGTTCATGGAGTCGCCACCAATGTTTTACTCAAAACATTGGAAAAAGAAGTTTAAGGCAATCGATTCAAAAATCGACTTCGGCCATTACAACCAGAGTCGGGTAAGGGAGTCGGTTACGCGTGGGGAAGGTGTTAGCACCCCACAGCGCCCCTTTCGGGTTCCCTATGACAGATTATTT